ATAATCTCAACACTTTATTATATAACCATAATCATATCCCTCTGTCTCTCTATCTCCCATGAGAGAAAGCGTGTGGCCACAGTTAGAGTCATCTTGAATTTGATTGCTCTCGGTAAGCGAAGGTATTAAGTTATACACACTGTAAATGACTTCTTGGTCCAAATGGAAAAAATTTGATATTTTTAAAATAAAATCTTGAGTTTTAATTTTATAAATAAAAAAATAAATATTGAGAGAGCTTCTGTTAATAAGATTCGATGCAATTCGATTCTAAATTAATCAGAATTTAATGTAATTATCGAAAACCAAGAGGATAATACAAAAAAAAAAAAGAAGAAGTTATACACACTTAAATGGATCATATGAGAGGTTATCAGTTAGTTTATTCACACATTATTTTCTTAAAACAAAATATTACAATAATTATATAACAGTAAACAAATAAATGCCTGAATACTAATTTCATGTGCATCTCACTCAATAAAAAAAGAACTAATCATAATTATTGTGTCCTAAAACTGTAAAAACGAAATTGTTTGTGGATCATTCTACCTACAATAAATCTAATGGACCTCCAAAAACCCTTGATTACCGTAGATGACTGAAAGTTAATTAGTGGAGTTAGGCCATGGTATTAAAGATAAAATTATCTTAATTAGCTTTTAAAAAAATAACTAAGAGGGATTAAGTACAAGGAAATGTGACAATTATTTTGTCTCACCTTTTTGTATAACCTGACGTGTCATTAAAATGATTGATTTTTTTTATTTATATGAAACCTGTGATATTAAATACATTAACTCATTTAATGACATGTGAAAGTTATATAAATAGTGAGATAAAAAAATTGTTAGTAGAGCAGGATTTCCTAAACTTGCTAGTAGAGCAGGATTTGTCATCTCCAAATGTTGAAAACAATTTCTCAACCAAGTCAGATAATATAGAATCCAACAGCAACAACACTTTTTTTGGAGAAAGGGATTTTGTTCAATCTGCCTCCGATCGGAAACAGAACTTGAAACATAAGGAATTTAATGCATTAATGTTAGTAGGAGAAGGTTAATTTCGAATCACCACCTAACTAATTAACTGTCTTGATTAATTAATTAGTAACTAATTATATAGTACTAGTATGTTTCAAAACCTTTGGTTAGTTAACGGCTTTAACAAGAAACACTCAAGAATACCTGCTTATTAAATTTTGTCTCTTTGAAAACCTCACAACAAACTGCAAAACAAAGTAATTACTTAACAAAAACAAAAGTAATTAAGCCTCTTCTTTGTTAATATTAGTATATAATTAAATTAAGTGTTAGAAGAAATTCCAACTATAAAATCAAAGCTCAAAACTTAAAAGGAGTAAAAAGAATTTGAAACATGAGAGAACTATACACTATGTTATATAACTTATCATATCAGAGTTTTTAAATGAATCAAATATGTTTTTCAACTATTACATACAAGAGAGTATAATATTAGAGGATATATATAGATATATAATTGAGCATTTGAGCTGATATGATTATGATCTAATTAGTAAATGAATGTGTTGATTAATGCAGAATGGAGAGGAAGTTAGGGGAAATGGCAATCAACTGAGAGGGAGATCCAAGCAGAAAGTTTGGTGCAAAAATGGCTGATGTTGCAACAGAAAGCATTAGAGACAGTTACAAATGTCCAAACTTTGATTGTTTCCCACATATCCTACCCCTTTAAATTGCCTTCAATTACTCAGTTATGTCGTAAGCTATAGAGATGGAGAAAACAAAGGTTGTTGTGCTTCATAATAGTGCATGCATATGTGCCCATTAATTTAGCTACAACTAATGCTCATCTTTTTCTCTTTAATTTTGTCCCACTAGTTTGTCAAAGCTGCTTCTACTTCCAAGCCTGCTGTTTCTTGGAGTTCCACTACTAGAGGAATGGTAAAATATCTTTTCAAAAAATTCATTTTGCTCCCAATTTTGGGCTATAACAAGTCATAATAGTCATTTCAATTTTTTGTATTTGATATGTTTTTTCCTTTCATCTTTCTAAAGTTTGAAATTAAATTTAGAGGCTCAATATATTCTTTAATTACTAAATCAAAAAAATATTATCACAAATACACTAATAAGTATAACAATTAATTCATAAGCCCTATTTTTACCGAATTGTTATACTTATCTAAGGTTAGTAATCTAGTTATTATGATTTATATAAAGATTAGTGATCTAGAGTGGAATTGTTTGAAATGATGGTGTAAGTACACTTGAATTTTCTTTCAGACAACAAGAGATCAACTCAAAGATAAATCTAAGGTAGGTATGAAGAATTTGGTGTTGTTTCCTTTCTTTGACTTTTAATTTCCCAATGATTTAGTTGACATGTGGCTTTGATGAAATAGGCTATACCAAAGGCTCAAGCAAAGGAAAACACAAAGCCTCAAGACTTCAAACTCCGCACAGAACAGAGGGCGATTAAGCGTGCAATGTTCAATTATTCAGTGAGTATATATATATATATATATATACACATACATAAGCTTGCTTAATTAAGGGGTGGGAGAAATACTTTTATATTCTACAACATTTTTTTCCCCATATCCGTACATATACAGGTTGCCACCAAGCTATATCTCATGGACTTACAGAAGAGACAGGTAGAGAAATTGCAAAAGGTAAAGTCAATCATTGCTTCAAATTATTCTGTTGTTCTACTGTCAAAATCAGGAATTCAAATTCCTGCAATGCTAAGCATCTACTTTTTTTGCTGTTTGGAAAAAAGTGATTAATAATGTTAGTAACCATAAAGTGGTTTTGGAAATTGGAGCAGATGATTGAGGAAGAAGAGGTTCGTTTACTAAGAAAGGAAATGATCCCCAAAGCACAATTGATGCCATTTTTTGATAGACCATTCTTCCCACAAAGGTACATATACTTGTGTAGTCGTGTTCAAGCAATTCAATCACAATTTTTGTGTCACTGACCATAAAATTAAGCTGGAGGCCTTAATTTTATCGTTTTGTTTAATTGATTTCACATTTGCAGATCCAATCGGCCTTTAACCATTCCAAGAGAGCCAAGCTTCCGCAACGTGAACAGCACATGTTGGAGTTGTGTCTGTGGGAATTAGCTCTACAATTTTCAACATGTTCATGCTTGAATTGAATGCATTTGTCCATGCCTGTTTTTGTACAATACTACTTGGTGCAGTCACCCTTTTTTGTTCCTCAGTGAGATATGTAATGGTGGTTGATTTTGTACCGTTGAAATAAAAGGCCAATATTCTACCATCTACATTGCTGGACAAGCAAACTTAACGACTATTTTGAATTAGTGTTGAAAATTGTTGAGCCCTTAGGCAAAAGACTAAGTTATTAGATGAAGATCTTGTCTTTTGCCATTTGTTGGATTTTGGTCCAAATTATCTATTCTTTCTACTTTTTTTTGCCATAAAAAAAAAAAATTGTAGACAAAGAATGTATAAATTAATCATACTTATTTGTAAATATTTAAACTTTTATTTATCATTACAAATTACAAAAAAGATATTACTTATGATTATGGTAAACTTTACTTTTTTAAAAGATGTCAAATCCTCTTTGAAAAAATAATATTATAAATAAAAAAATCATACATTAATAGAATTGAATCTTAAATAACAATGAATTTTGGCTTCACTCAATAGAAATTCTAAAGTTAGACTTAAGTTACAATGAACAATGGATTTTGATTCCTAAGTTTAAAATGGTTGATTCTTTTTTTTATAAAATTCAGTTTTAGACCTTAAATCCCTTGCCATGTTTTCACTGGATAGACAATTTCTCTTCTCTTTACATCTGGTCGTGTGAAGCTATAAAGCAAAATTAAACGATTATCCCAGCAGCATTGAGATCCACATTTGACAAGATTTGGATGTGTTTGATATGTAAATTCAAAGATATATATTAAACAAACACTAGATTGGTGTCATACAAGCATCATGAGGAGGAAAAGAACAAAAAAAACTTGACTTGCACTGCAAGCTGCTCAAAAAACCAACTCCCAAACCAAACATCACTCTTGTATGTTACAAATGTAAGTAACTCAGATACTTGACAGTATGCTATTTTTATTTTCCGATCAAAATAGACAACCATAGTTTTTGAAAAAACACGTCTTCCACAAAGTTGGCCCTTCCTGCCGAGTACTTTCAAAGGTCTTCAGGGCCATTAATTACCTGCAGTTCATATGAGATAGTCAGTAGGCCAATAAAAACTGATACAGCATAATGCCTAATGAAAGAGTCAAGAATGCAAGAATTTTACCTTGTTTTCAATTACAGCTCCATTAGGAATTTCCAACTTCACTCCAGGCTTTGCAGCAATGGTCACTTTCCCCTGAAAGGATGAGCCCAAAGATGCTTTTAGTTACACCAAAAAAAAAAAAATAATAATAATAATGAAAAGGAGGTAGGGATTAAAATTAAATCAGAGTTTATGTTTTTTCTTAAAATTATTTAAATTTGAACATATGTGGAAATCAATCTTGAGATGTTACCAACACAATAAACAAAAGAGTATAATAAGGGGCAGCAAGAACACATCAAATACCTTGAGAGTAATACCAGCACCAAACCATACATCACCAGTCACCTTAAGGCTATCCAGCTCAATGATACTTGGAATTGACTTGAATCGACTCAGGAAATTGCTAACCTGTTAAGCAAACAAAGAACATTAATATCAGCATATCAATCAAATATATTTAGCAGCACATTTATAATTAACTCCATAAATCCTCACCTTCTTAAATTCAGGCCCCAATTCAATAGATGGGTTTTCAGGATTTGTTCTAGCTTTGTTCCTAATGACAAAGCCATCATCTAAGGTGTAAAGATCAGACTGCAAGAGAAAACAAGCACACAGATTATGTGATGTTATGTTATCATCTGAGGACCACATGCCAGAGGAACAAGAAAATAACCTGAACCAGGAGCAAATCTGAAGTTGCCTTCACTGGAAGGAATCGTGATCGAGGTACATTTATCCCAATAGCATTGTCAAAGAACTAGATGACAGACAAAAACACAAAGTTAAAGAAAGATCAAAGTTAAGCATCTCAAAGCATCTGAAGAATAATTGGGCAGATTTAATACCCTAATGGCTGCACCAGCTGCAGTTTCCAGTTGAAGGACTTTGATCCCATCCACCTCCTGCAAATAATGTTACCTTATCATTTGAATAAATTAGGTTAATGGCAAACCAATATGGTTAAGAAGATGATGCTTACCTTAGGGTTCGGAATGATCTCCATTTTGAGTGCATCAGCTTGGACCACCCTCTTAATTGCATTCAGGTTCACCCACCTGCAAAATATGTCATCAGTACTAGTTCATAGTTTACTTATCACATTTAAGGCAGGATGGCTTACAAGTTATTGGTATTGAAAATTTTGAACTTCTCAATTGACTTGAATTCATTAACCTGGTACAAACATGAAGATATGTTATGTTAGCCATAAACTTGTGGAAGGTCATACTAATAATAATTCTAATGTATACTAATCTAATTATTGTTTAAGGAACTACTATAAATATTGAGAAGAGAGCAGAAAATTATTAGAACAAACTCCAACTAGCAACACAAGTTTGCCTATTCATTAATCATTTGCATAACACCCTAATTTCAAAATTGGTTGCCTCACGAACAGATACTTGTTCACGATGGCTTGTTCATTGAACTCAATGATGGAAAAGTTTCCCAATGAGCTCGAACTTTCTTGCAAGTATTTCTTAGAAATTGATATTCACCCCACTCAAAAATTTTATTAATCATTTTAGGTAGTGATAAATGCTCATTAATCACTAACGTCTCAAAACTGTCCATCTTGGAAAATATGTCTATTTGCTAAGTAGCTGAACTAAAGACAAAAAGGAGATAATGGTTAAAAAGAAAATTTATTCTTTTGACTTTTCACAGTGAATAATTCTGGAACATGATAGAAAGGAACAGCTTAGACAATAATTGTAGATCCATCTGAGGACAATGAACGTTATCACCACTAATCTTGGGCGCTACTGCTCTAGTCATCAGTGCGAAATGCTGGCATAACCGGAGTGCTTACTCTTGTAAATCTTCATTTTTTTTAACTACGGTAGAATTTTCCAAAATAAACAAGGATGATTTCTATTTTAGACTGCCAATAAACCAGATTTAATTGGAAAAAAATTGAAAACAAATTAATTAATTAATTACAGGTGCAAGAGCGGTAACTTACATGTTCATCAGGAACTTGAGCAATTTCAAGAAGCTGAAACACATAAATGGGGACACATAAGCATCAATAAGTTTCTTGAATTCCACCAAAAAAAAAAAAAAAAAACACTATAGAGAAAATGTATGAGATGGATGATACATGATATTTACCAATTGGCTCAACAATAAGAACATATGGAACAACATAGTGCTTAAGTTCTGTTACTATCTATCATGAGTTAAAAAGAAGTTAATCAGTTGTGCTTTAAACTTTTACTAAAATATGAATCCACCTGACCTAGCTAAAGGTTTTGTAGAATTGCTCTTTGAGTAGAGCTTCTATAGAGGTGCTTATTTGGGTAGAGTTTTCATAGATATGGTGAATCAAGAAATATATAAAATAATTACAAACAATTTTAGAAATTGATAAAGTTTAACAAAATAGATGTTTAGCTGTAAAAGCTGTACATTAGAAGACACAAATTTGTAACTTTAGCTTCTAGAAAACCAGAAGCACTTTAGAAAAACTGTTTCTAACCTAGCACCTGCTTCTGCAGCAGATAAGCTGTCTTAGAAGCTGGACAAAGCAGGCACTTGATCTATTGTATTTACCACAAGTTTGATATTAAAGATTATCTTAAACAGTAGTCATTCTTGACAAAAAAAGACGTGAAGATTAACATGCCTACAGGCAATAAGGTCTCTACCTGAACTTTTCCCTCATAAGAGATGAGGGTACCACCTTTCACATCTGCCAGCGTCTTGGGTGTGACCTGCATATATACACAAGAATAATTAATAAGGCAACAATTATGAAGAGAAAAAAAACAAAGCTTTTCTGATTTCAGTTCTCCCATACCTCCATACAGTATTCATTCTTGTTTCGGATCAAATGATTTAAGATTTCTGTTGCATTCTGTCAAGGATATAAATAGCTACAAAGTAGTGGTACCTCAAGCAGATTGGTCAACTACAGGATAATAATGAAAAGAACAAAAGTACAATTTAGAAAGGAAAAATTAACTAGAAACTATAATGAGGATACTCAAGTCAACTACAGCACCCAAGTTATCCGAGTTGGCAATAAACACGTACTCTTTTCCCTGTAATGATAAGCAATGGAACAAACCAAATTTTCATTCATATCCTGATGAAGCACACATCAGAGTGAAAATATAAAAGTAGCAAACTCTCTCACAGCACCAACCTGTGATAAGAAAGCATCAAGCTTGCCACTGTTCATTAGAGATGGGAAAATATCACCATGACCAGGAGGATACCTTCAAAACATATAGGATTGTCATTATGATAAAGCATCGCATCACCGGGAAGTAAAGGATTAAACAGGATCAACTTCAAACCAAAACCACATCATATACCCATATAATTAGAAAGGCTGGAATAAAGGAAATTAAAACTGCAACTTTAGAAAGGGGATGCAAAAACAGAGTTAAATCATACCATCCATCCTTCCCTGTCTGTCCTTTGCAAGGTGATGGTGTAAAATCTTCTACAGCCAGACGAGGATATTGGCTCTGTATAGATCAAAAGGAAGGAAAAGGGAGAGAAAAAAACATTTTTATGCTTAAGCAGACAAAAATGAAAGTGGTACCCAAAACAGTATAGGGAATCTAGTGTTACTCAACCTGATTGAAGGTGTGAATCTCAACATTGGACTTGGAGTACTTCTCCACAATCTGAAACCAGTAAGAACACACAAGTTGAAGTACATTTTGCCAAAAAGAAAAAAAAAATGATAAACAAGCAAAGCCAGAGGATAACAAGTGGTAAAGGTAGGTACCTTAAATGTGTCGTCATGAGTGTTGAATGAGTTCATGAGAACCAAAGGAACATTACACCCATATTGGGAATTGAGATTCTGAAATTACTTGGAATGGAAGTTGCATGTCATGATGAGAACCAAACTTAAAAAGGAAAGAGAATAGGAAGAAAGCAAAATAGCGCAAAAATTTAGATGAGAAAAGATTACCTCAATCTGGATAACAATCAAGTCGAGAAATGTCATTCCATTGCGAACTTCAATGACGGATCTGCATTAAGAAAAAGGAGCAAAAACTGAAATATAACCAATGAGTTACGGAAGAAACAACAGAAATGAGTTCGAGATTAGCACATTCAATATAACCCATGACTGACTTTATTAGTATTTTTTTTCATATTTCACTTTCATGGAAAAGTGGCCAAGAGAAATTAATTCATTTCACTTTCCTCCATTTAATTAGCTTTATATGCTCGTTGAAAATTATTCAGACAGAGTATATACATATAAGATCAGATCAAACTACATACTTGGGACCAGTACAGCCCATTGTTGTTCCCAAACCACCATTAAGCTTTAGCACAACAAGCTTGTCCAACAATTTCTTGGTTTCAGCAGGATCTGAGACAATTAAGATACACAAGTCAGATCAAATGGAAGTTAATTTGCATTTGAATATGAAGAACTCAGGCTAGTACCATCTGGTGTAGGAGCCAACGTATCATAAGGAACGACAACCTCATCAGTCGGTGTTTGGATCTTACTCCATTCAATGTGCTGTGCTTCGCCACTAGAATTGATCATAAAATCCAAATAAATGAGTCCGAGATCAGCACATTCCAATCAAATCTTTGCAATGTGACTGATTAAAAAGGAAACGAAAAGGACGTAATAATTCCAACATTTAACTCTTAAAATTCATAAACAAAGAAATCAACTCCAAAATCCAGAGAAATTAAATGGAAAAGTAAGAGACAAAAGGTCCCTAACTCACCTCAGGTATCGAGAGACGAGATTAATGAATCCATTTTTCTCATTTTCACTGTAGAATTAAACAGCGAGAAACTGAAGTCAGACGAGATCTCTAGAAACATGCATATGAACTGATCTTAAGAAAATCCGATAACGAATGAAGCATCGACGGCCAAAAATTTCAGTGGAGCGAAGGCAATAACGAAGCAGAGAAATGAATCGGAAGAAGAAGAAATGGTGGAGAACCTGATTTGATTAAGGCCGGCGACAGCAGATTTGAGCTGAGTGAGCTTCTCGGTAGCAGTAGCCATGGATGAATGGATCTGTCTGGAAAAAGCGAGATTGGAAA